GAAGCAAAGTCTGAACCGGAAATGAACATGAGCAAATGAACATTTTATGGACTACCGGTTATCAGCAAATTATCAGTCGTCTTTGGATGGTGGCAAAAGTTTCTTTGACTCTCATCGAATAGCCAGTGTATGTTTGCCTATTAGAATGCCGACTAAAACTATTTCGAAATATTCGATTAACGCTTTTCGTATGGTACGCTCGCAAAGTTTTGAAAAGGGATGTCGATTTCTATGTGAGTTCATAAGACTGCTTTCATTAAATATCCACTTCTGCAATAAACGAATTTATAGTCCCATTTGTTCCCTGTTTGCCATCAGCCATGAACTGGGGGATGCTCTGTCCGTATAGCCTAAGACCGAGAACCAAGTGATTCGGGATTCGAGCCTCAAACATATCTCTCGCCTTTCTTCCTTTCGAGGTCAATAAATGAGCGCTACCTTGTGAGATAGATGTAGGAGATCACACACTATACTTGGTCACATAGCTGCTGTTCACTATGCCTTTCGAAACATACAGATTGCGCTCCTAAAATGAGAATAATACAAAAACAATGCTCAGCCCCCCCCCCCACACCATTAACGTCATGCAAAGAACCGCGAAAGAGACTCAGAAACGGCTCCATAGTGAAAGTGTAAGGAAGACCAGCGTTGTAACAGTTACAAATTTTCTGTATTCTTTTCTTGCTGAACCAGGATTCTAAAATAGCGTGTCGATTATTTAAGAAACGACGAATGTCGAAAGTCTCCTTTCCACTGTGGCATACGTGGCAACGTTCATGGTCATAATTGATGATACATAATTTCTCTTTTTAACCAAAACTGTTAAATTAGCCGATCACTACAGTGGAAGTGTAACACTGAAGTTCCGGTGGTAGTTACCACCTGGTAACTTCCTATCATGTAAGATTATCATTGTTATGTTGTTAATGGTATGAGAAAATCATTATGATTCTTATGATTCAGTGACTTTGCATCAGCTTATAATCGTAGAAATATAGTCAGAAAGGATCCTACCATAGCAAGCGATGGTTGCTGTTG